TATAATTTATCCACAGATCACCCTTTAAATATATAATAACAATTTAATAAAACATCGAATAGTCGCGCGTTTCAAATCCTATACGAGATCCCTTTTCTTGTCAAACTATATTAAAAGTAGAAAATATTTGATGGAATGTGAAAAACTCGTAGCTCGGGAAAAAGATGATAGAAAATAAGAGAACCGAAGGAAGAAATTTAATATACGTTAGTATCATTCTATCTCCTATCTTATAGTTTTCAAACTTATAGTAATAGTTGATAGTAGTATGGTGTAGTTGTCGTGTTGCTTTGTAGATCGATGAATATCCTAAACCATTATCGAATGAGATTTCATGGATGTTAAAGAGACGCAGAGATAGACGTAGACAAAAAGAGAAAGAGAGAGAGAGAGAGAGAGAGAGAGAGAAAGTGTGAGAGAGATAGTAGTAGCACCGTTGTAAGATCCTTTGTTTGATCTTGAGACTACGATGACACTATCCAAAGTTGCAGTAATGTTAGAAATTCGTAACAAGCTTTCAAGTTTCCTATCAAAGGCAACATTAGATGCCTCTATTCCCATCGGTTGCCGGCTACTAACGATTACATGGTGAAATCAACGGTGCGAAAGGTCGAACAATTTCTGGGAAAACAATTAATATTGATTACCTTAACGATACAACTTATATAACATACAATTCGAATGTATTTATTCTGATATTAAAATAATTTAATTGCTGTCTGAATCTAGCAGATATATTTCAACATACAAACCAATTTGTTCTTTATTAATATTCATTTTTTATATACTGAGTGTCCTAAAAATCGCTTTACTGAGAAACGAGAAAAAATATTATGAGTTTATTAATAAAATTAGAATATTAGTTGTGTGTGTTAATTTAAAGATATGAGAATTTTTGGTTGTAATTTTGATGCTGACAAAATACTATGATGTTTAATAGAAATATATTTTCTATACAAATATTTGTAATATTTTAACTCAGTAAAGATATTTTTTGGGAAACTATTAATTTTTAAATTGAAAAACAATTATAAAAATAAGTATTATCAAAATTGATAATTTGTTGATTATAATAGCATCAATATTTAGAGTTATATAATAATGTATTCAAATTTATTATTTTTCGATTCAGTATCGCGATTTTTGGGTGTTCAAAATAACATAAAAAAATATATACAGTCAAGCCTCTGCCTAATGAATTATCCTAATGTATTCAGAAATATTCTTATCATGATTTTGTAAACAATGAATCGAATTGAAAAATACTATATGAAAGTTCTTATCTTAAATTTAAAATGGAAGATAAAAGATCTTTCAAAAAGTTCGTTCGAACAATCGACAACGGACGAATGACGACAGTCGACGGCTAGTTCTATTCAAAATCGTTATCAAGCTATCTTTCGTCTATTTCGAAAGACACGTTCATAGAAAAGATACATGTTTTCTACTTCATCCTTCGGTTCCATCTACTTTTATCTATTTTTACTTCTTTTACTTCTTTTTCTTTCTTAACACTCAAGCTTTCTTTACGTGAGCCAGAATATCCCCCATTCGATTTCTTATTTCTATTCTACCCGTATACTTCCATTCCCTTACTTTTTATTTCATTTCTTTTTTTTTCTTCTTCATCTTCTATTTCTTTCTGTGTTTCTTGGCTTTCATTCGCGTTTTGGTTTTATATTTTTTTTTTTTTGAGAGAGAAATATTATTTATATATTAATAATATTTATTAATAGTTATAATCGTAATTTTGACCAATTATATAAAAATACAAAATAATCATAATATTACTTCTTATCTCAACAAAATTCTTTTCTTTTTTTTTTTTCCACAATATTAATATAATTGTAGAACTTTTTCTGAAGAAACTATCCAACCCTTATAATTTACTCACGAAATAAATATTCCTTTTATTTGAATTAAAAAATAGTTGAAAAAAATGAGATGACGAAGTGTTGAAGTAAGAAAAAAAACAAAAAAAGAAATTAAATTTGTTTGAATCTGAAAAATCTTGTTTAGAAAAATGTTTCGGAATAATTATCTCTAAATTTGTTAAAATAATCGAAACAAAGTTTATAAATTGTCAACAGTATAAATTTTCTTTTATGAGAATAAAGTTGGAAAATTACTGTAAGCTTAAGTTTAATAATAAAAATAAAAAAGAAACAAGAGATTGCTTTTAATCTTAAAAAATTCTTTCAAAAGAAGCTGGTATACCGGTAAAGAACTAACGTCTTCTTTGTCGTCAGCATACTCCTCCGAGCAAGGCCTTAGCTATATAAAGTTATAACTTCCAACAATAAGTTGAGTTATTACGCGTTCCGGAATTCCCACGGTGACAGGTAATGGTAAGTCTCTTCTCTTTTCTCTCTCACTTTCTTAAGAGAGAGAGAGAGAGAGAGAGAAAGAAATAAAGTAAAAAGATAAAGAAGAATAAAGAAAGATGTAAGCAGAAAAATCTCACTCATACGTACGTATACAAACATACACATATATATATATATATATATATAAATATATTATAAATATAGTACGTGGATATTTTCCTTCCACTAGAAGGAAATAATTTCAACGTTTCCGTTTTCTGCTTGGCTCCATTAAGCAAAAAGATACACGTTGAATGTTCTTTACTCTACACAAAGATGCATCTAACAATAAAATTTTTATTTTACTTTAAATGTAATAAAAGATAGAGAATGTTAAAGAGAAAAGAAATATTATTGTAATAAAAATAAATGTCCGATAAAACAAGGAAACAAAACCGTAGTGGTCAAATTGTTCAAACAATAGCCAAAAATTAAATATTTCTACTTGAATATTAACCTAAACCACACAGCGATGTAAGTTTTCTTTCATAAAAATATCAGACAAATTGATTAATCAATAAAAACCGAAGAACTAAATACTACCATTTTTAATGAGTAAAATCTTAGTATATAAAATGAATGAAAAAGAATTTTGCTCTAATGATCAAACCAAACTTCGAGAGAGTCCAAAGTCAAACATTAGCAAGATGTACACTCTGTGATGACTTTAATAAGGATGGAAACTCCCGTTTGAATTTTCTCATAGGTATTTAGGTACATTTATATATATATATAACTCTCAAACGTTTGTAAGCAACGTGAAAATGATTTTATGTCAAAGTCCTTCATTTTGAATCGTCATTTACCGACAAAATCATATGTACTCTCTAATATCAATAGACATACTTACTTTGAAATACATTAACTTACTCCTCTCGTTCCGTTCTATTTGCAAAATTAACGAACCAACTATTAAATTCGAAATATATGTGCATCTTACAATTAAACAAACTTCGAGATGATTTTCACACAACTGAAATATAAATATTTTTTGATTAATCAATTGATATGTTTATTCTTTTGATTCTTCGAATGTATTGGATGTAACCGAAATCGTTTTACCTAATTTCAAAATTATTACAGCAATTTGGAACGATGAAGTTATACTTTTTTTTTTTATTAAATATTGTACTTAAAGATTTATACAAAATTTGAGGAAGCGAAAACCTAAATATTTTAATTTAATTATTACAGGGGTAATTTTCTATATTCAATAAAATTGTTATCTCGCATACACAAATTATATTTTTAAATTTAATATTTATTTTATTATTATATATATATAAGTAGTTATACAACTACGAATACAAATATTTTTTATTCGTAAATAAAATTTAAACAACACGCACTGATAGCAAATATTCTCTTTTTTTTCTTTTTTTATGTACATACACAATTTAGTTCGTACGTATCAAACGTTTTATTTCTAACACTTGATTAGAATCTTTGATGAATCAGTTTATAGCGCATATACAAAGCTCGAATTTTTCCTTACAAATTATTATGAGTAAAGTCAACTATTAATCAATTATTTCTAATCATGTGGCACTAATCTTATGTAATATATTTTCTATAGTAATTATTAGAAAGACCTTAATTGAATATGGTACATGTACAACAGAGTGATATATTATTACGATTGAAGTTTCTTTGCCTTCCTTTTTGTTCTATTATTCTGTTTCCTTTTCTTTTTTTTTTGTCTATTTCTTCTAGTTGTTGGCACTAAGAATTCAAGATTAGTCAGGGAAGAATACTGTTGGCGAATATTACTTAAAAATTACGATATATCGATGATATTCAAATTCGAACGAAGGTATATACATATATTTATACATGGTGTCCTATTTAACTCGAAATATCTAAATCTTTTTATAACACTTCATGAGTGATTATACCCCAAAAAAATATGAAATAATTTCCATATCAATGTGTTTTCAAGATTATATAAAAATCATAGTATTACAATTTATTCTTTTAATTGTGTTGTCTGCAAAAAATCACAGTGATGATTTTAAAATCTTCAAAATTACGACAGTCCGTGATAAAAATATTCGACTGATCGAAACAAACAACATCTTTCTCGCATCATCATTAAAAACAGCAAAGACAATTAATTAAATATGTCGTATTAAATGGGACACCTTGTATAATGGTTATATAATATTCTGATCATATTTAAATCGATTTCTTTTGAATATAACGAAGCCCTAATAATTAAATTACTTAACACAACTAAGGAATGTATTAATCTATTATTTCGGTATACAAACACGTACACGCACACGCCTACGTACTAACGCAGCCAAGTATTTCCGTGTATTATATGTGTCGTGTACTTATCTACATGGAAGACAAACGTGGTTTCGAGGCAGTATGGAAGTGTACTTATGTTTCAGACTAATCAGTACCTTCTGTCTTAAACAAGCGATAAGCACTGTTTCAATGACTTTAAACTCTTGCTCGGTGAAATTAATTAGAAGTTCATTGTCCTTTTAAGCAAACATTTCAATAGGATAAACTTTCTTTTATATTTTTCATGACTTATTTGTAATATTTGAAATATTATTAATATTCTTTATGATGAATAAATCAATATAAACAATTATGAAATGTAAATGAAAAATTGATCGAATGTTAAAACAAATGTTGACAAGTTTATCAAATAAATTGTTGAAATATTAATAGTTTCGTGTGATTAAAATCATAAACGAATACATTATTAAACGTGATTATTATGTTTCAATTCCATGAATTGATACGGCACGTGTAATGTAGTATTGTTATGTTCTACTAAAAGATGTCCTCGTCTCGGAGATGCTCCAACGACTAACACAGTTTCACCTTTCAATAATACTACTTCTCCTTCCCCTTCTTCTGAAATGGGTTTATAAATCGGTAGAAGACATGCCAACGACTTAGTTCTTTAGATTTCTTTGTTTGTCTTTCCTTACCTGGGAAAGGCATCTCCATGATCCTCGTTTGAGGATATCCTATTTTTGTATTACCAGCCACGGTGTAAGATCTACTCGGTGGTAATGGTGGTGGACGTTCCTTTAGCAAATTAAAATACAATTATATTATACAAAAGTTTACAAATTTATATAAAATTTGTTATAGTAAGTTCGAATAGTTATATTAATAAAAAACAAAACAACAAAATTATATATTTCAAAAGAATGTTTTAATAAAAATATTAAATCTAATTCTTCGATGAAAAATATTCATCATAAATATAAATCTTATAATATTGTAATACTTTGAGAGAATAATTATATACCAAATCAAGTCCAAATAGTGTACAAGTTTGTTGAATCATCTTTTGATCAGCACATTTTTCCGAAGGATCTGGCGGAGGTGTTCCAGCAATTGGTTGTGGTCTAGGACGAGTACCAGTTCCAGTTCCTGTTCCAGTTGTAACATTTCTTTGAACGGTTCCCGTATTACCAGTTGTTGCTTGTTGAAGTTTTTTCTGACCAATGACAGTTGACACACACATCGTTCTTCTTAATGGCCATCTTCTTCGTACTCGCCAACCTCTCCACGTAGTCTAATCAACAAAATATATTTCTTTGAAAATAATATCAAAAGAATAGAATAAAAAAGGTTAAAGTAAACATTCAATTACCTGGATCACTGTAGCAGCTTTCCTTCTTGTCTCCGAACGTAAGCACTCAAGCTGTTGACGTATACCCTCGCTAAGGAAAATGTGTCTCTTTCCAAGTGCCCAACTCGTACTAGCTCCAAATTTATTTTTCAATTGTTGGGCATTCTGTAAAATAAGTTTGGTATCCTCGACAGCTTGTTCTTCAGCACGGCGCAATTGTTTGAAAGGTGCGATCAATCTGTACCTCGCGTTAAACGCCTTGAATCTCATTCTATGCGGATAACCTGATCAATAAAAAGGTGGATTTATATTTAATTGTATTTTTTCTTAAGATCATTATGAAATCATTAGCTAAAAATTATTATCTTTATAAGATTCAAATAAAACAAGGAAAATCTTTTGAGAATTGAGCAATCCCATAACTGAGATTTGCTTATACACTGACAATCATTAAATTAATAAGTTATAGTATTATTAAATTAGCAAACTATATGAGTGTTCATGATAATTTACGTACCACCAGCCATTAAATTAACAGTTTCAAGAACTTGCAGAGAACGTATTTGCCTCATCGCTACACCTCTATCCAAATGCATAGGAGTTTCAGTCCCATTGCTTCTAATGCATCTAACAAAATGTGGCCTAGCGTGAACCAAAGTTCTCAACAGATTGTCCAACCTCGTGTGAAAATCTTGCGTTAACGTTGAAATTGGTTCATCCCCGTTTAAACTAATAACATTCATGACATTTCTATTACACATATATTTGAATATATTTGATTTTTAAATTTAGATGGTAAAAATAATTGTCTTACAGATCCGTATGGGAAGTCGGTGATATCCTAAAACTGACACCTCTCGGTACCGTATCATTTGCGTACAAAGCTTTTAGTTCACTGCCAAACAAGTGAGTAGCGAAACCAAAACTGCAAGTATGTTTGTAAAATACTGCGACTAAATCATCGGGAACAACATCCTTGTTGGTGTCTTTAAAAATATATCATGTCTTGTTAGAAATTAGAAAATATCGATTTTGTACAAGAAATAAAACATATAGTTTTTGATTACCTAAAAAGTCTGATGCATCGTACGTGACTCTGCCAGCAAAATGTTGAATCCCGAAAGATCTGCAATCTACTGGTCTAGGTTCGAAGAGTCGAGGATTTTGCTTGTGTTGAACTTTCACCTTAGCTACGTAACTTTCCGCAGTACCACGTATTGAACATTCTACGTCCAACATACTGAGCAGACCGGTTCGCTGAAAAGATCGATAAATTTAGGAAAATAACCAATTATAATATTAAATCAAAAACATAGTTATAGGATTTTTTTACATAAGAAATAACAAAGTATCGCTATTTATAAAAAGTTAGATTTTTGTACTCACCAAAGAAGAAATGAGATCGATACAAGGTACATTGTCAACATAATCCACCTCAACGTCACACCTAATACCTTCATCGCGGCAACTTTCGATAGAACTTTTAAATATGTGTGTGTTATAGAAATGTTGCATAGTCTCGGCACAGAGATTTATACAAAGGTGTTCCAATTGACTTGGCTTGGGATCTTCGAATCCGAACATATCTAAAATTCCTATAAAACCATCTGTGGCATGTCTCACGGCGTTATTTAAAGCTGTCATGCTCCTTGAACCTGTCCCACCTAACAGTAACATAGATGTGTACACGAAAAGCTCAAAATTATTAGTTCTTTCTACTTGATTTAAATTTAATTTTTGATAAAATTTTCATACCAGCAGAGCTGCCAATAGTGGAGGCATGCTGACTGGTGACTTCGGCTTGATTGTGAACAGATTCGTTAGAATCGGATGAAAGAGTTCCAAGTGTTGATCCTAATCTTTTTAAACTATTAGCTCTTCTGACAATGGTTGCCACGGTACGACAATAAAGAGCTTTGGCCAGGGAATCTCTCGTCATGTTTGACTATATTAACAAATTGATGTAGAAGTATATTATAAGAGTTTGGTTCATAGTTGGGCAAATAAAAAGATATGTAAATAAATATAACTGTACCATGTTTGCATCGCAAACCGATTTAACCAGTTGTCCTCGAGCATTGTGGGTTCTCGATGTAAGACCTCTGAGAAGAGCAGGTGGTGGAACCCCCAAAAGTGCAGCCACTGAAGCGAGTTCATTTTCTCCGATTACACCAACCTCAACACCAGGTCCGTCGGTGAATCCCACGTTACCGAGAATCAACACTGCAGCTAGTACTCTTACAACATCGAGGAAAGGTATACCGAGAACACCTAAAACGACAAAGAGAAATAAATAGATTTCTTGGCTGGATGTGTTCGAGCCCTTTGCAGATAACTGTTTTTGTTCCCTACACCTTACCCAAACATGCTTTCCAAGCTTGAAATCTTATCGCATCTTCGGCTTCGTCCTGTCGAGTATCACCGTTTTGTAAGTACCTCAAATTTTTCAGATTATATCCCTCCAAATTGAGTTTTACTATAAAAAGAAATGATTGGTAAAAGAAAATGTAGATAAAATCGAGTAACGTTTTAGAAACACAATATAAACACCTCTTTCTTCGTGAGACAATCCAGCCAACATCTGATAAAATATATGATAATTTTTCTCATCTGGTAATGGTCGGATCACTCTAGTCTGATCTAAGAAATAGCAATGAATTTTCGTTCTGTACAATGCCCCGTCTGTAACTTGTACCTCGATGAAGTGACCCTGAGAAAAGTAATGTCACATTAAACTTGTTCAATTTTCTTCTCGTGATCGCATTAATAACTCACTATTCTCGAACTTTCCGAGTTCGTGGCAGTTTTAGCAGATCCCAAAGATCTAAGAACCGTGAATGCAGCTGCCAGATGTTTAAAAGCGTCTGTTTCCGGGCCACCGCCAGCTACGTCGAAAAGTTGCCGAAGTAATAACATTGAGGCATACGTTTTCCCGGATCCGCTCGTTCCTAAAGAAAATTCATTCAAAGATGACTAACTCTTAACTGTAACTGACTACAAACTTTTCAATTCTATGTTGTTTTTTGTTTTACCAGAAAGTATTATTGCTTGTGGATAGCCAGTCTCTGATTGTTGCCTTACGGCTTCTTGAACGACCCTGTTCAATTGGGGTGCTAATGGTACGGCCCTGGTACTCGTCAAGGTCAAGGGATTTCCAACATCCGTATAGGGATTGATGCTGACCAAGATAGGACCCACGTTTGTCTACATTTAATATATCAAATTTTCAAATTACTGAATATTAAATAATTTCGAAAGGCAGTAAATAAATATTCATATTTTGCATTTTTGGAAAATTTCATATTTCCCAAGATACAAATTCTTCGAGTGATTTACTCAATGAGTAATACTTATCTCTTAAAGGTTACATAAAATATTTATAATAACGTTTACGCAATGATATCATAAAATGTGGACACTGTATAGATCTCGATAACGAGCATTACAGCATAAATTTCTCTATATATATATCTTGTACTCGACATATGTTCCAGTGCACTTATATAAATCATTCATGACTCTATCACCTACATAAACTACAATATTTTTGTTCACGTCTCAATGACTGAATCGGAACAAGACGAATCAAAGTAACGCAATAATGTTTAAACAGCCTTAGCAACAGCGATTAATACAGCATGAAAGAGATATATACAAGCTAAGTTTGTGAGTTTACACCGATCTAAGATGATGTGTTTTTACAAAACATATTTATTTTCTTAAACTGACATCAATAATATTACCAAACTTAGAAAGAATTTAAGGTATGTTCGAATATAAAAGTGAAAAATCACAAACCAAGTCCTTAAAAATTGGGACAGATGGGACGGGGATGTTCAAATAAAATATGGGAAAGAGCTGGGCACGTAAAAGACCGAAGGAAAAGAAAGAAGATAGGAGGAAGGTGTAGAAGGCGGGGCACAGGATAAAGACTCAGGACCGCAAGGGTCCGATGAGCTTGATTGTTATTAGAAGTCTGCTAGAGAAGGTAAAGCGGCACACAGAGAGCAAAGAAAAAAGGTTGGAAAAAAAAAATCAAAAGGGACGAAAAAGTGGATGGGGAGAAAGAGAGAACCGGTCTGGTGTCGGGGTCCATCGAATATCTTGAAAAGAATGAGGGGAGATGAGAAAAAAGGGGAATTGGAAAGAAGCCTAACTTAAGAGCCCGTAAACAGATTACACATATACACATGCACAACTGAGAATATGTGTATGCAAGTTGGGCTGATGACCAAATAGCATTTTTATTTTCCAACAGAAAAAAAAATAAATAAAAATAAAATACAAAGAAAATGAGAAGCTGTCTGACCTTTTAGGATGAACAAAAATCATAAACTCTTACATCATTTTCTAAACATAATGGTGCATGTTCTATTAATGTATTACATTGACACATGAAATGTGTTCTTTTGATGTCTGGTGCTGGTTGTTACTCGTTTCAGTTGAATGATCAAACTTTTTCTTATCGATGACGAAAAGAATAAAAGAAATAGTGGCTATCCGGTTGCCACCAATTAGGGAGTAACCGTTTCTCTCGCAATTGGGTGAACGCTATCGAGTTTTTGTAAACTAAAGGCGTAGTCTACCTTTCGACGATGTTTCCTCTCCTTTTGAATGACCTATTGAGAAACTCCCTGTTTTTTTTTCCGTCGGTTTCCTCGCAAACACCGCGACCAATGTAGATCGTTCACGTTTCTTGAGAAAACCGATTGAGAATACGCTCGATGATGATTTAACGGTTAGACGTTTCGAATTAATTGGATCTCTCCTGCTTTTATAATATTGAATTCTATATTTGGAAATAGTAACCTCGTGCTAATTCCATCATTTCAAAATCAATACCAAAAAGAAAAAGATCTATACTGTCTAAATCTATGTCTAAACATATGATATTTTCATCTATTTATGTGTGATACGATAATTTATCTTACTTGGTATTATTTTGGTTTTATCAAAAATCGGTTAATGATTTTCGTAATGAACGAAATATTAATCAACGTGTAGTTTATTTGAGTAATTGTATTATGTTTATAACAGTTGTAATTAGGTACGTCAACCTAATGGTAAATATAGTATTTCAAAAAAATCAGGAAGCAAAGGAAGAAATGCGGAAAAGGTTGGAAAGGGAATCAACAGAGTGTGAATGGCGAAGCGTTCGAAAGGAATGCGAGCTTGCCACCTGTGCGTGGGCCAGCACGTGTGAAGGGACAGGGTGAATTCTCAGCGTTGCTTTATCGACGCGTATACAAGCGTTGAAATCGTGCGTACGCTCATGTGTGAGTACCAGTTGAGTTCCCCACCCTTTTGCTCCACTTGCATTCCAACGAAGAACAGCGCCAGAGCTCGTGCGTGCATGCAATCGTGAGCTCCTACATATAACCGTGTAAAAACAGCCTGAAGGGTTTCAGATTAAGGAGCCCCGTATAAACTAACAGGAAATCTTTTTTCGCGTTTATCCAGTATTTGTTTTAAAGTTTCATTTCAATAAGTCGTAATGCACATATAACAAATTAAATTTTTAACTATAATCAAGTATCTATGCTGTGAACAAATTATTTTACTTTTTTATATTACATTTTCTATTAATCCCGTTCGAGATTACGGTGTCATTTTAATTGACGTAAATTCGATACAAATTTTCCCAACGAAAATTTCCAAATAATCTCTATTTGATTTAATTATACATCTGTTTTTTTTTATATGAATTGTTCTTATTTTTCTTTTTGTATGTCATATTATTGAAAAGAATTAAAAAATTTGTGCTTGGCCAGTATAAATAATAATGACTATCTTACAAATTTTGATTTAGTTTAACCAATCAAGATAACAACCTATCGTATTTCAATCATTCTAGTGTTATACGTTCAATACATCAACACGTAATAGAGAAAATATATATTTTATCCAATATAATTTTCATCCGTTTTGTTTTCCATATCAATGAATATATCTATTTTTATTAAAAATAACAGGAAATCGAGGCAGAAAAATATAGCGATGTGTTTTTTTGTGAATAAAAGTATGAAACGACATCAAGAATTAACTGACCATACAATAATAATACCCTTACTGAATAGATATAAAATAACAATAACACTATCATTTGCGTATTAATTAAAAATAATAATAATATATATCTATAATATTATATTCGAATCAAATTGAAAATATTGGAATAATAATTTATCAATTACGTTTATCACATTTAAATATAATACTAGTTTCTGTGATTATCAAAATTGATGACTTACGTGATATTGTTTAGCACAAAAACGAGCCTGAAGGCATTTGAGTACCGCGTCCTCCGTGAGAGGTCCGGGTAAATGAATGAGATCGTCCAAGGCCGTGGAGGTTGGTGGACCAGTGGTGGTCGGTGTGGTAGTTTTTGGGAGACATCGATGCTGGCCTTGATTACTCTTAGCGTTCTTCACGTCGGCGATAATACTGGAGATTGGGGGTGATCGTAGGCAACCAAGGGCTGTCACGCAAGATACTATACCATCATCCGACACGCCGTTGTGCCGCTTCGTTGGATCTAAATCTAACCATCCAACGTTACCATTATACTTCAATATCCCATCACAATTGTCCCATCCTAACAATAAGAAAATTTCGGATCAATTATTTTCAATGATTTTATTATCAAATTAATGGATGGTGAGATCAAATGGATTATCAAAGTTGTACATACTATACAGGGTAGTTATTTAACCCCTCCTCCCCCCTCATATAATTATAATAACTTTCTCATAATATTAATTATTATCAAAAATACTTTACAAAATATTTCATAGTTCAAGAGTGCCAGAAAAAAAAGTATTTAATGCCCCCATATAGAAAAAAACAGATAAAATGTGACTTAAGTTTAAGTTTTGATTAATTTTGTATTACTACTATTAATATAGATATATGCGAAAATATGTTTTAGTTACGCGTATCGTTATATTTTTTTGTTGATTTTTATTTTTGCCTTTTTTTTTTTTTTTTTTTTTTCGAAAAACGATTATACGATCGAAGATATTACACTGATGGGAAATGGTCCATTAGCGGAGGCGTATTAACGGAGAAACGAGGATATTACGTGTTACACGAGGATTTAACGTTAACTCGGACGAGCGAGTAGATGGACGTCCCGTGTCGCGACACCCACCCACTCATCCCCCTCCTCCCACAATCCCATCTCTTCCCTAGATATATGTATAACTATCTAACACGCGTGCTTGTATATATCGGTGTCTTTATACCCTATGACGACGAAAATCGATCACTATCGATATAGGTTCAATCTACGAGACTCTTTACTTGAAAATATTTGCCAAAATTGATATCCTTTCCCTTTCCGCTTTATTAAAGTTCAGTTAATCGACACGACCATTTATTTTTCCTATTTTTTGATACTACTCGTCGATTTACATATTTCGATCGAACCTCTTTAAAGGTTGTTACAATTTTTTTAACATGTCGTACTGCTTGACAAGCATATAGATACATTTTTTTATAATAATTATATATTTTATTTATTTTATCACGGAATATATATATATATGTACACATGTTTTCATTTGTTTAATATTATTAATTTCTTTTTCTATAAAATATACATCATACAAATATCGTGATAATAAAAATTGTACTGAAACAAAAAGAAAAGAAAAGAAGAAGAGAATTCTATTTAATAGGACGTAATAATTACATATAGTTATATAATGAAAAATTGTAGAAAAAAAAAATAAGTTAAATTCGTATGGGCGGTATGTTAACTCGTTAATAATATACAAGCATAGCAGTGAATTATCGTAGAAGATTAGTTCGACCATACTAACCAGATATGAAATTATTCGCAACAGTTGCGTTGTGGCTGAGTGTGTTCGTAGAGGCGTGATTGACGTGAGGATGAACGATCGCGGATGCCGTGAGCGTGTGACTGGTGGAATGGTTGGACGAGTGACCATTCGGATGGCCGATTCCATGGGATACCGTGAATGCAGGTGGTAAGCTGGTCCTTGGTGGTACGGCTGGTGCTGGCGAGGAAGGTGCACCATTACCAGTACCACCAGTACCAGTGTTGCTATTAACACCAACACCACCAACAACAGAAGTACCCTTCTCAGGATTTTTCGACAGGGCACCTTGCGTTCCTGGTGACGGCACTGAACCACCGTTTGGAGGTTGGCTTACATGTAGCCGGTTCCTCAGGGTCACCAGTTCCGTGCTCAGGCTCTTTAGACGTTGCTGTAGGTGTACAGCTTCGTTCGAGGATGAAGCATCTGTAATGAATGCAAACAGGAACAAATTTATTAATAAATCATCTCGATCGCGTAAATAAAGTACTCAATAAATTGATTTTGTTCTTTTTCCAAACTATAATTTCAATTTACGATAGTATTTTATACTTAAAAGGTCTATGGACTTTGTGACCTTGTTAAGAAAATATCCGACAGAAAGAGAAGGTTAACGTTAAATATATTCCGTTCTCTCGATTTAACTACAATATTCTAAATTTAAATTTTCTTTCATGATTCTAATATCTCTGATTAAATGTATATATTTTATATTTTTTGTTGTTGTTGTTGTTGTTCGATTTAAAAAAAAATTCTTTTGAAAAGAAAAGTAGGCCAGTAAAAAGTTGTTATCCTCCTCTTCCTCCTCCTCCTCCTCTTCCTGTCGTTAATGTATTGACCAGAAAACTGGTTTACGTGAAACACGTTTTGCAAAGGAGCATTTAGAAATTTATTCTAAGCGTCTACTAATAGTAGACAACAACCTATGTCATATTGGATATAGGAAAGTATTCGAACATTAGCATACCTTCTTGTTCTTATATATTTGTAAGACCAGTTAAACGGGGCACCTTAGTCATTTAAAAATATTCCTCAATATATATTGAACTTACGAAACACCTATATCCAATTTATTGGTCTTAATTTTAAAACGCGTGAAAAATGAAATAAAATAAAATTATATTTGTTATATAGAAAAATATACGAGTCCTCTGACGCACACACACGGTTTTATCGAAGATATTTAATCTAGTTGTTTGTTCTTAAAAATATAACTTATATTGATATGATATACATGTAAGAAATATTCTGAACACGAGTTTAATTCTATCTTTTATTAAACATATAAGTTATCTGATTTGGAAAGTCATAGTCGAGTTAATCTCTTACAAATAAATAAATATTTCATTCAGTGTGTGACATGTGAATAAGATATTAACAATTGGAATAAAAAATGTACATTTAAGTTGATAGTTGTATTCATAAGTATGTATGATAATGTTTAATATATATTATAAGTATTACAATATTGATATTTTAGAACAATTTCATATTTTTATTTAAATGTATAATAAATTGATGGATAATTATATATGATCCTGATTAGAATACATTGTCTTAATGAGTGTAAACATTTTCTTGGATTTTTCTGAGAAAAGGAAAAGGAAATCTAATCATGAACCATCAGATGACTCTTGCATGATTCAACTTTGATTTAACCAGTAATGTAGCTCGGATTAACGGGATTCGAGGAAGGTCGTGAAGCACCTTTCGCATTAATAGTCTTGCTGTTTGTACGGTTAAAATAATAAAAAGAGAATAAGACAGAGAAAAAGATAAAATATAAATAATAAAGATAAAAAATGTCTGGAAAAAATCTTAGTAACATATTGAAACCCAATTTATGATAATTTTTGGGGAAAATCAAAATGCATATCGCATAAAAAAAAAAAACACATTTAAATTGAAATACCAACGAATAATAAATTAAAAAGGATTTTATTTTAGTAATGAGAAAGATATAAATAAAAATGAGTAAATATAAATTGAAATATTAATAAAAATATAAACCAAGTTGTCTGAAAAATAATTAAATATACGAATGTTTTACATACATATACTATTGATCAAATTTTGTATGGAAACACACAGAAAGATAAATTAAAATTTCTTTTCTGCCAAAAATCAAAGTCAACGACTATCTTTTTTTATTATCAACCGAGAGAAAGAGAAAAAATGTAAGAGGAAGGAAGACAGTAATCAGCAAGTTTTTTTTTCTTATCAAGTTCAATTATCATCCCTTAGAATTTCTACCCTTCGATTGGTCCTGCTCATTGTTCCCATTCGATCTAGATGAAAAAAAAGAAGAAAATAAGGGATAGAAAAAAAAATAAAAAAGAAAAAGAAGCACACGATTTACTATCGTCCACAACCATAATCGACCATTCTCCTATCCCTTCTTTTCTACGTTAACATCCCTTCTGGATTACCTTCTTTGCACTCCCTCTATTCAGGTATATCGACATAGTATCGTTCGACCATTTTCATTCATCTTCACCCCACGCACCAACTTCCCAATGCCTTTAACATCTCACGTCGCTACCTTTCCTGTTTGCCAGATAAGGGATACGAAAAAGAAACTCGAAAAATATTTCGTGTCAATCTTAAGTATAATCTCTTATCTTAAAAGACATATTTTTTTATGACATTCTGAGTTTATATTTATCGAGTAATTTCTTTTTTTTTTTTAAACTATTAGACTCTTTATCTATTCAATCACATTTCTATATAAAAATAATTTTTCCTTTTAATTTTTAGGAATACTATTTTACGATATAATTTGATTAATTCAATTAGAAATTTTTCTAATCTCTTATGTGTTGTTGAAGATATATTTAATAAATCATTTAAATATTGATTAATTACTTTTTTTTTTTTTTTAAAGCGATTAAGATTCTTATTCGATTTCAATGAGAAAATGATTGATTAGAAATTACTAGTCGTAATATATTTAATTGTAAATTGATGAATAAAAGTGAAAGCATTTAATAGATCATTGTCATTAGGATATTTATAAATAATCAATTGATTCTTTTGTCGGTCACTGTTTAACTTTTAATGACACATTAAACGTGTGTTAAATACATTTTTTTTTACAGCTTTTTAATTACTTTTTTAATCAGTCAGCAAAAATACGTACGTTAAATTATTTATTATTGATATTGATATTGAAAGAAATAATAGTTCATATTCTTGAACAGAATATTTCCATCAACAACTTCAGTAATCAGAAATACTTCGATGAATCTTATTCGTACTTCGTCCTAGTTTCATCATAATTTTGTGATAGCTAAGTTTTACCGGTTCGTGATAATTTGTGCAATGATTCTCTTCTCGTTTAAACCGCTTTCGTTACCTTACAACTTCCGGATAGGAGATCAGTTATATAACCGGTTCACGGATCTGAAAATAAGTTATTTAACACCGTAATATAGAAACAAGAACGTTCACCACTATCTAGATGTTTTATTAACATTTTTTTGTTACTCTAGGTAACCATTGTATATCGTATTTTTCTTAACGTGGGATCGTATCGATATTCATGTAATAATAATAAAGTAATAAAAATAATAATAATGCATGACTTACGATGTAAAACGGATCTCTTTATGAATGATAAAAAGGTTTCTTTTTTTTTTTTTTTATTTATAAATATTCTCTCGAGAACGAATAACTTTACGAGTATAATAAAAGTTTACGTAACACGTTCGCCATGTACTCGTTCGATAAATCACTGAGAAATTTTAGTAACAACATTTATGAGATCCTTTTCTCAAAAATGTTCCTAAAAATAATAATAGCAAATAATTATGATTACTTTTTTTTTTGTAATAGAAACACCACACCTTTACATGTTAATATTTAACGAAGTATATATATATATAGATTTAAAGAGAAGATTCAATTCTTTGATGATATTATTTTTATCAAATTTAAAAACAAATGTCAAATTACAATTAACAAGAAATAATAAAATATGGTAATTTGTTCTCTATAAATAAATGTTTCAAACTTTTTCCCTCACATAACAGTTAAAATAAAATATTAAAATAATATTAATAGTATAATTATTTAATATAGAAATATTGACATGAATTTATAAATGCAACATATAAATTAATGGAATATAATTAGTTAATGATATAATATTATGATTGAGCATGTATGCAAATGATTTTTAAACATTGGTTTGTTCGAAACCCACGTAAATGTATAACCAATAATATTTGAATTTCGTGTATATCGATCCATGTCGATCGACAAGCAGATCAAATAAACAGAAGACCATACGTGGAGATTCGATTTGGTGGCTGACCAACCGATGCCACCTATCCATAAGCCACAAAATGTTTCGTCCAATGTATAACGATGTCAATGGGATCATCGTGCCACTGCTATATCTTATTTCAAAACGTTTGCTATATCTTGATATTAACGCCATTGATAATATTATACAAACTTCTATTGGATAAAAAATATGAAAATAAAAGAAACTTGTTTCACGAACGAAAAATAGGTATAATATACCTTTGTTTAAAAAATCAATAAATAATTATATAATTAAATGGTAATTAATATTAAAAAAAAAAAAAAAGAAAACAAATTGTTAAAATCTTATTTGAATTTTTATTTGGATAAGTTTTAAATCAAATACGTAGGGATTTAGAATTTTTGTTAGTAACATTATTTGTGCAGCTATTAATTTATTCAATACAAATGAATTAATTTATTAGGACATGTCCGAACAGCGTGACGTATTAGGTAAATAGTTTAATCGGACCGACGTAACATTTAATCACTCGTATATACTCGTAAAGCTGCTATCGAGTTATCCCTCATTTTCCGATCCTTCGTAACGAGAGTATGATCGATCACAAGCGAAAGCTTTGAGGGATAAAAGAGAGAATGAGTTGATAGTTCATGCTCGTAACCATCTGTTTATGTATGTGTAACTGAGTGGATATATATATATGAAAGTATATGTGTGTGTGTGTGTGTGTATTTATGTAATCCACAGAAAGGAAACTGAAAGGGCAGGAAGACGAAAAGGAAAAGAATTTGGAACAGGTATACGTTCAGGTCCTCCTCCTACTGCTGCTATGGGTATTCAAATGAACAGGTACCTTAGAATGCTATTCGAAGAAAACCACGTCTTCTTATTCTTTTCTCACGGCATTGAATGTCTATAACCAATTCGGTATAATATAAATTTACTAATTTATGATTATTTTATGTTTATTATTATATAAGATTATTATAGTTATATATAGTTGTTATAATATAATATATATAGTTGTGTGTAATTTTTATGTAAAATATTATTATTTGATTAGTTAAAAAAAAAAAAAAATCATTTTAAACAGAATTATTTTGGAGAATAATTTTAAAAATTTGTTAACTTTTTTTTTTAATATCTTATATAGATA